TGTGTGTGTGTGTCTGTCTGTGTGTTTGTTTGCTTTTTTGTTTGTGTTCGTTCAAAAGTATGCCAAAACTGGTACGGGCAAAGCCGCCAGACTCGCTCGACCTTGGGTGCTGAATTGTTATCCTTTTCCAAACCAGGCCAGGGCCTGAAACGGGCACCGCAAATAATCTTCCGAACCGCTCGTTACCTGGCAACCCACCCGCGAATCGCACCGGAGCTGCATTCGCAAACTGCCCCGACCGCAACCCCAATCTACCCTAGTTGAGATCTGACTTATCCCAGGCGGCTCGCAGGACCTCTGATTTCCACCATCTGCTTCACAAGAGTCGGGTGACAAAGGGAACCCTCTGAGAGGAAACGTCGTGGTATTCAAACATATCACGTCGAGCACGTGCTTGCTTGAACACGTCGGGACTGTTTGCACGCGATTCTCAAAACCTTCAGTTGGTTTCGCACTAGTCCTCAAGTGTCGATGTTAGGGAAGGTTGGGGGGATTAGCTTGACCTTCATCTGCCCTCACTTTAACTTCGGGACACGGACCCGCAGCCCCTGGCAACGAAAATCTATCTTGTCCGTCCGGCCTCCGTAGCTTCACCTGAAGCGCAAAACATGGAAGCATGTTCTGAGACACGGTTTCACAGGCGATGTCTGAATGGCTTTGCATGCGCATGCCCGATCATCTGCGAATCCAACTTAACGCATGTATCCTAAGTTTATCGATCACTGAAGCCTCTGCCAGGTCGTGCTTCGGGGAGACGAGGAGTCTATGCCATCCGATCTGATGGAAAGCGTGAACACGGATACCGACTTTTTCAGCCCTGCATGAAGCTGTTCATAAGGCCGTGGCGAGGCTTCTTGGCTCGGCGCTTCGGCTTCGTGGCCGCCTCAAGGCAAGGGGCATCGGCGCTCTGAAGATGTTGAAAAGGTCCGTTTTACACCTTACGCAACCCGGGTTCCTGCTCGGCTAGGGGAGGCAACGGAAACAGCCCAAGCCTGATGCGGCGCTAGCATCTCTCCGGCCTTCGGGACGGGCAGAGTTGCGGTTTCACTGTCATTGCAGTTTGCACAGAATATCTGCTTAGAGAATACCGCAACATGCAGCACCTGAAGCTTCATCATCAAGTGGTTGCAAAACGCTCCGCGCCTCGCGGACAGTGTCTTCGCGTGCCGGAGGAGATGTACGGTGCCCTAGCTGCGCACTTGAGTCTCTTGTTCATGACTTGCAGCAAGCAGTTTTCGGGGTTGTGTGTCGTAATCACCAACAGCTGCTGACAATCACGACCGAGCGACGAGCAGAGCAGCTTGGCACTGAGACTGGAAAGGTCGCAACTTACCTAAATGGGACAAGGTAGTCCCGAGTGCCCCCTCACCGACAAAAGCGTGAGCCAGCGGGGCAAACCACATGGCCATAATTACAATGAGCATCTTCCTCCACAGGATCGTGACACTCGTCCTCGTGGCTTTCATATCTTCATCATGACCATCATCCGCGTGCAGAGGCTTGGAATTCCGGTCAGGGACGGATCCAAAGAACACTTCGACTTGAACAAGCACTCATATGAAACAGCTGCCTTGAGCTACGATACACTACTCGGGCAGGTCCGAATAGAAACACTACTAAGGATGTTTATCGTGTGTGCTAATGGTGCTGGCTTTTGAAGTCGTTACCGCTTGCGCAGCCGTGTGCACACGATGATTGTCCATTGCAACCGCCAAGGCCAGCCAACAATGCCTCCTTAACATCTTAAGGTTCGACTTACAACACCAGGAGGAAACCCTCTGCCGTGAAGCCATTTGCATGATATTTGTCCGAGTTTTGCTTGCACGTTAAACCCTGCCCCAAGCGGCAGATAAGCGCCCTCTTCACAAGAGCGCTTGGAAAATCCAGGTGCCTCCTCTAAGCATGCGAAATCACAGCATCGTCTCAATCATGCCGGGCGCATCACTGACATGCATCTTACAAGTCCTTTCGCGGTCTGGCACAATGAACTACGAAAACAGCCACCCTCATGTCAGGTCAGTGCCTTCGCCAGTATGGGCATTGCCGGCGACTCGCGCGGCCTCGTGTTCTGCTTTCGAAGCACCGCAAAACACCGCAGGACACAGCCTGCGTCTCGCGAACAGCTTCACTTCTGTTGGAAGATTTACGCCTCAGATGTGTCAATGGCAACGCAGGTGACAGAGCATCAGCCTGCAAAGGAGGACCATTCATTGATTCCGGATACATATATACTGTACATATACTTAAAATAGATATACCGACTCAGAAAAGAACACGGAAAATCTGATCGGCTCTGCGAGGCCTCGGGCGAGCTGGGTGGAGCCAGAGGCGCCGCCTCGCCCGGCTGGCCGCCCTTTATGCCCCCGCGCCCGCGGGTAACACCTATGACCTGGCACTCCGACCTCGGCTCACTTCGAGTGCCTTTGTGCCTTTACCCGTATCTAACCCTTCTGCTTCCCATCGCACCGAAGCCGGGCCTTTGGCGTGACACCAGGGACCGTGTCCTGCAGTTCGCTTTCGACCCACACGGTGATGTCTCAGACACGATCTGCTTGAAAAACAACCGCGAAGTATTCGAGCGCGAGTGCATCTGCCGCAGCACTCAAAGCTTTCACCTAATTTTGATGGTGTCAGTACAGCGACTCGCTCCTGTGTCTTCGAGCAATGCAGAAAGGCCCGACATACAGCTTGCATGTTCGCAACATTACACAGACGCGCTGCATCCTCTTGTGTTGTGTTACTACGCTTGGGAAAAAAAAACCCGAACTGCGAAGAATCGCTGAAGCAGTCAGTGGGGCATGGCACGATTGCCCTTGGATTCAGCGGAATGCTGTCAGCTGAGCTGCAAGTTTACAAAGCATCAAGATGCCCAAGCTCCTCGGTTGGCGCTTTGTCCTTCCGTCGCCTTTGGGAATCCCACAAATTTGGAGGGGTTGGCTCACGTCCGCACAAACTTGTATCGAGAATAATACGGACCGCGGACATCCAGCTAAAGGGCTCCACTTGAGCAACATGAGCAACTGTATGTCACGCAGTCACGTCGTCGTGGGATCAAGTCCTAAATTGAGTATCGAAGCTCCAACTGCAGGCCTTGGCCACTGGCCACTATTCACAAGAATCGGTTCAGCGGTTCCGCAATTGGATAGCGGCCCGGAGTCCTAACTGTACCCGTCATGCCACCCGTCATGCCATCATGCCGCCTCTAAGCCCTACTCCGTAATGCGATGGGCACTCCTTATCTTCCCATCTACAACTTCAAATCGGTCAGCGCCCCGCCCCTGGCTATACCAACCTTTGCATGAGCAAAAACAGGCTTTGTCTCCGCCTCTTCTTCCGCTTCGGAGCCTCCGACTCCTCTGCCGGCGCCTTGCGGGACACAGGGCGGAAGAAGCGATTCCGGTGGAAGTCAGTGCACGTCAACGTTTTTCGGACACTCTTAAATAGCATTTTCAGCGGGTTTTTGCGAAAACAGTGTGGTAACACTAAGGGGTTCAAAAGGAAAAGAGAACTGATTGCAGTGGCAAACGGTGCACGCACGGAAATGGCTCACCGTGACATTATGCGGTGCAGATCTGGTCCGGCATATCATTTAGACAGGATCCGGAAAGCCCCTCTCGCCGTGCTGCGACAGGCTCTCGAAAACCTCGAATCGCATCAGTACTTGGGAGGACGGATTTGGGGTGTTCTGGTGGATTCGGGGGGGAGGGCGGCGCAAGTACGAGGACGAATGAATGAATGGCCGTGATCTTGTGATCTTGGATCCGCCGGTACTTGGGGGAAAGCATTCTGGTAGCGCTCCCGATCTGGGTGACGCCCGAGTCAGAAAAAGGAGTCGAAAACGGTAGAGACCCATTCAGAAAACCTAGGGGACCGAGTCAGAAAGTGGAGAGGCCTGACTCGGCAAACGAGGGCTGCACGAGTCGGAGAGCAGGGCTAGCGAGTCGGAAAACAACATAGAGGCCCTAACCCCTAAACCCTAAACCACGGAGGGGTGTCGGCAGATGTTTTCGACTCAGGGTCTCCCTCGTTTTCGAGACGAGGCCGTGGCGTTTTCGACTCGGGCTCGCCTCGAAAGCAGATTTGCTGAGACAATCACTCCTCCCGATCTGGTCACTACCAGTACCCTTTGAGAGCATTCGCGGCATGGTCTGCTGGTCTGGTCTCCGGTCCTGGTGGTCTCTGGATGGTGTCTTGGTGGTCTCCATTGCTGTCTCTTGGTGGCCTCCCGGTCTCCAAGAGACTGCGGGATTCTCCTGGTGGGCTCTTGGAGCTCTGGGGCCGGGCCTCCGAAGTGGACATGCAGTACGCGGAGATACGCGGAGTGCCTCCCGAAGGTTGTTGGAGCTCTGGACCGGCTGTCGAACACAAACTAGTCCTCTGAGTGCCTCCCCAAGGCTCCTGGTTCTGGAGCTTTGGACCCTTCAAATCTCAAGAATGAACTACACGGAATATGGACAGTCACCAGTTTCCTTCGCCGTGGCCAAGTTCCGCCCGCCTTACGCCGGATTGAGCAGCGGTTGCTCCGACGTGTGGCACGTGCCGAAGCACGAACTTGGGAGTGAAATTTAACTGGCACTTGTGCCGAGAAGCAGCACAAGCCCATACACATCATGAGCACCAACAGATGCAGAGTACACTAGCATGAAGCGTACATCGGCAAAAACTAGGAGTGACTACTTTGAAACAGGGCGGGATGCAACCTCAGTGCTGAGAAGCACAAAGCCCACCAAACATTCTTAATTTAGGGCCTAAGGATTCCAAAATGGCTCACTTAGCCCAGTTTGACAAGGAAGCCAGACTTAAAGGCATCAATGGCTGTAACTGGTCTGGGACTAGAGGCGCGAGCATAGCAGTGAAGCCACTTAGAGCTGCCTCAGTCGCCACCCGCCAAGCCAGGTTTGATGT